TTGCACTTGGCGGAGGCAAGAAATCCCGATTACAAAGCCTTTGATTCGGTGAGCTTCAAACACCAATACAAGTAGAAATGAAGATGAAGTAGAAATGTAGCAATTCCTCTTGAGTAGGATTAGCTACCACTCATGTACAAAATGATCTCACTTCAAAGAGGCACTCTCATGAATAAAACAATTTCCTCTATGCACTCTTTGATCTAGTAATAAACAATATAGCACAAAGAATTAGAGAAAGATTGAAGAGGCTTTGAGAGTTTGTTGTTGTGTACTTCTCCCTTCAATCCATGCTCCTTTTAAAGGTAAAAACACCAAGGAGACGTTGGCCTTTGTGGAAGACAAAATCATTTCTTAACAGTAACTGCACATTGGCTCGATTCAAAAATTCAAATAAAATGGCTCCGAACGTTCAAAAAATCTTACAATATTTTTTAATACTCCTCATTGAGTCTATTTTCAAATACAAAAAGAATCATTCAATTATCGTGCACCGTTTGATAGAAATCATCAAATCTTCAACGACATGCCAGACTGTAAAATTGCTTTTGTCAAACGTTGTTGGCCAAGTTCAAAATTTTCTAGAAATTTGAATTTGTATTCAAAAATAACAAATTATATATATTTGAAAAGCTTATAATGTCTACTTTCATTTAAATTTGGATTCGTGCAAATTTGACTTTTATATTTTGAGATATTGTAAAAATACTGTAATATACTCATTTTGTCTGCTGACAGTGCAACTCAGCAGAATGACTCACTTTGAAAAATTATATCTATCAAACTATAAGTGTAAAACATGAAAATAATATATGCATTTAAAGCTCAACATTTCTACTTTACAAATAAAATTAATTCAAAATTTTATTTATATTATAAATTATATTTTACTAATTAAAACCAATATCGTGCAGATTTCAAGAAAGACTTTTTCAGAAAATAATATGTGAGATTGATATAATAAACTGCTTTAATACAAAAGAATATATATGATGAATTATATATCAAAATAAAGATATTTGAGTGTAGTTTCATATAAAATTGACTTTATAATTTTTTTGACTTTTCTATAGTAAGATATAATTAATTTACTACACACATGTCTAATTTGACAGCTTCACAATTTAGTACATGTAATGTATGTAGTTAAACAATAAACTTAATATTATAAATTGTCCATATTATTCATTATATAAATATACATAATAATTTTAATTTGTTTTGTCATTATCAAAATAAATATGAAACCTTGAGGCTAACACATGGTTTGTTCAGCAATTTTAGCGTAAGTCAAATGTGAAAGAGGTGTGCATGGGTTACAAGCAGAGTTCTGTTTATTTACAAGTAGAGACTCGTTCAGTTATAAGTATAGCCAAGTTTAGTTATAATCAAAATAAATGGTTTGTTCAACAATTTTAGCGTAAGTCAAAATGTGAATTACTATTCCGATTACAAGTAGAGATGAGTTTAGTTACAAGCAAAGACTAGTTTAGTTACAAGCATAGTCTTGTTTAGTTACAAGCAAAATATATGGTTTGTTTACCAATTTTAGCGTAACCCAAAATGTAAATGACTGTTTCGATTACAAGTAAAGACCTGTTCAATTACAATAATGGCCCCATTTAGCTACAAGCAAAATACACGATTTGTTCAGCAATTTTAATGTAAGTCAAAATGTCAATGACTGTTTTGGTTACAAGTAGAGATCCGTTTAGTTACAAGAAGAGACCCGTTCAGTTACAAGTATAGCCATATTCAGTTACAAGTAAAATACACAGTTTGTTTAGCAATTTTAGCGCAAGTGAAAATGTGAATGATTGTTTCGGTTAGAAGTAAAGATCTGTTTAGTTACAAGGAGAGACTTGTTTAGTAATGAGCATAATCCCATTTAGTTACAAGCAAAATACACAATTTGTTCAATAATTTTAGCATAAGTGAAAATGTGAATGAGTGTTTCGGTTACAAGCAGATATCCATTTAGTTACAAGTAGAGATTCGTTCAGTTACAAACACAGTCCTGTTAAGTTACAAGCAAAACACACAATTTGTTTAGCAACTATAGCATTAAGTGAAAATGTGAATGACTATTTCAGTTAAAAGCAGAGTTTTGTTTAATTACAAGTAGAGACCCATTTGGCTATAAGCATATCCCTATTCAGTTGCATGAAAATACATGGTTTGTTCAGAAATTTTAGCATAACTCAAAATGTGAATGAGTGTTTCGGTTGCAAGCAAAGATCCATTTAGTTACGAGTAAAGACCCGTTCAGTTACAAACATAGCCTCGTTTAATTAGAAGCAAAATACTCAGTTTGTTCAACAATTTTAGTGCAAGTGAAAATGTTAATGAGTGTTTCAGTTACAAGTAGAGATCCATTTAATTACAAGCAGAGACCCGTTTAATTACAAGCAAAATACACAGTTTGTTCAACAATTTTAGCACAAGTCAAAATGTGATTAACTGTTTTGCTTACGAGCAAAGTTCAGTTTTGTTACAAGCAGAGACCTGTTCAGTTACAACCATTGCCCCAAAAAGTAACAATATAATACACGGTTTGTTCAACAATTTTAGTGTAAGGCAAAATGTGAATGAGTGTTTCAGTTACATGCAGAGATCTGTTTAGTTACAAGTAGAGACCTATTTAGTTATAAGCTTAGTCCCATTTAGTGACATGCAAAATACTCAGTTTGTTCACCAATTTAACATAATTCAAAATGTGAATGAGTGTTTAGGTTACAAGTAAAGATTCGTTCGGTCACAAGCAGCGACCTGTTCAATTACAAGCATTGTCTTATTTAGTTGCAAGCAAAATACACTATTTCTTCAGCAATTTTGGTGTAAATCAAAATTTGTATGAGTGTTTTGGTTACAAGCACAGATCTGATCAATTACAAGCACAACCTCGTAAAGTTACAAGCAAAATGCACCACTTGTTCAACAAGTGAAAATGTAAATGATTGTTTTGGTTACAAGTAAAGTTCTATTTAATTACAAGCAGATATTTGTTTAGTTATAAGCAAAATTCATGGATTGTTCACCAATTTTAGCACAAATCAAAATGTAAATGACTGTTTCGGTTACAAGCAGAAATCTGTTCAGTTACAAGCATAAGCTTGTTTAGTTACAATCATAGACTTATTCAATTACAAGCATAGTCTCGTTCAGTTACAATCATATATCACCGTTTATTTAACCAAGATAGTTTGACAGTCATCAATTGGCTAGGTTAAAAGCTGAATTCTATTTAGTTACAAGGAAAGATGCATTCCGTTATAGGCATATCTCCATTTGGTTACAAGCATAACTCTTTCAATATATTCAATTACAAGCTTAAAAAAGAATGTATGAAATATAGATCTGTACAATAACCAGCAATCTTAACCAATAAAGAATATCTATAAAATTATTTTCCTAGATCTATATACAATATATAAGCTTAACCAATAATCAACAATTGTTTTCCTTCATCTATGTCTTATGAATAATTACTAAAAAAAATTGCAACGCATTCAAAATACTTCTTGTTGTATGTCCACTAGAAATTGTTACAGTTCCTTATTTTCCATGATAGTCGATGCAAAGCTCAACTCAACCTAATTTGGCCTAGACTCCAACATCCTTGAGTATTTTCTCCAAGTATTCGTTTTTGTGTGTGTCACCCAGTCACATACATTTTATTTTCTGCACTCTTGTATCATACCCTGTAGAAACGTATCAGATTAAAATTGAATATACTATCTTATACACATGATTATAGTAGTGTTGTTGTGATGAGTCACTTACGGGAGTATATTTAGGCATGGGTGTATTAACCGAAGTCTGCATGTATCTCAGTACATACACCCTGCAATCACAATTGCATCTTTACTTATAAGAAGGCTTTTAGTTTTGTTATTCATATTTCAAGATAAAATATTATAAATTAACTAGCAATATAGCTCTAATATGAGGACTTAAACAAAGAGCGATACATCTCCAAAAAAATTTTACAAAAGGAACACAATATTTAGAGAACAACAACTTACTTTCTATAATTCTTAACATAATTATATAAAATAGATTGACCCTTACTTTTTTTGTCCCTAGTTAGATATTCTTTGCAGAAATTTTTCGGGTGACAAGATTTGAGAGATGACTTTCATTGATGGCCTAGATTCTGGATTAACTTGTAGACATCCAATAGCGAGCTTCACAATGCACATCACCACCTCATTAACCTCAACTAGGGGGTGAAAAGCACGTGCCTAGAATATCTTTTAGCTCAATATTCTCCATGGTTTGGGTTGTAAGAATGGAGATGAAGCCTTTTAGATGCCTCCCTTCAAGCTAAGTATGAAGTATGAAGTATAGCTTTGGAGTACCTGGTGCAACATAACTATATGTGCTTTCTTCAAGCTAAGTATGAAGTATAAAAGTACCTGGTGCAACATAACTATATGTGCTTGCAACTGCACTCCAATTGGAAGAATTGCACTTCAAAAGTTTAGTAGAACCAAAATTTGAACACACGCCTCATACTTTTTATCAATCAAAATATTATTGCTTGACAAGTCTTTGTGAACAATTAGAGGAGAGCAATCATGGTGCATGTAAGATAAGGCATGAGCCACACCTTTAACAATATTAACCCTTTTTGGCCAATCCAGCTCTCTAGCTACTCCATCTCTACCCAAAATTTTGGCTAGGATTTTCTTTACAAAGTACTTGTACCCCAAGAATGAGTGTTGGAATGTGAACAAAACCTAAAGCTTCACTATGTTCCAGTGCCTAATTTTTGTCAAAGTCTTTACCTTATTTAAGAAGTTCTTATGATTAGCTTGCTCAACTTGATCAGATAGTGAATGAAGTTTCTTAACAGTTACTATAGTAGCTGAAGAAGGTAGATTTGCTTCATAAATAGTCCCAAACCCTCCATTCCCAATGTAGTAAATAGCACCAAAATTTTCAGTAGCCTTTAAAATGTCATTGTACATTCCTTTGTGTGCCACCAAATAAAGATATTAGGAAGACATTGGCGTCGCCCTTGTCAACTTTTCCATGGTTACCTTTCTCTTTCTCCATGTCAACATAATGACATACCCTATTACAACACCCAAAAACAAGATTGCTCCTCCTAAAGTAGTCAAAACTATAACAGTGGCATTGCCACACAAGCCTTCGTTTCCTTGTAATGCCTCCATCAGAGCTTCTATAAAGGTTTTGCTATTGGGTGTGGGACCTTTCAAATTGTTATACAATATCTCAACATAAGACAATGGTTTTTCAAAACCATTTAGAATGACACTAGAAAGGTTATTGTGGGAGAGATTTAGCAACTCCAAACTTTGCCATTTTGTAAGGTCTGATGGAATTCCCCTGAAAGCCAGTTATAGCTTGTTAAGGTGAAAGAGGTTACATATTTGAAATGGAATTTCTTGACTAAACTTGTTTTGCTCAGGTTTAAGTAGAACAAGTTTTGAAATTTTCCCCAAAGCTTGGAATTGAACCACTAAGTTTGTTTCTAGAAAGACCAAGTTACTCCATTTGGGTTAGTGATCTAAGTTCTATAGATACATGGCCTGAGAGTTCATTACCTGACAAATCTAATATCAGTATTGAAGCTAATTTTCCAAATTCATTGGGAATCTCCCCAACCAATTGATTTGAAGAGAGAGAGAGAGAGAGAGAGAGAGAGAGAGTTTGTAGTGGATTTGAATTCCCCAAGCTTGTGGGATCTTCCCACTTATATTATTCTTGGCTTGGTTTAAGAATGTCAAATTTAGGCACTCTCCCTAGTTTTTTGAAATTCTCCATAAAACTTGTTATTACTAAGATCTATGTACACCAAGTGTGGGTAGGTTCCTCAATCTTCAAATATGTTTTTAGTGATTTTGTTCCTTTCAAATCAGACTCGTACTAAGCTTGAGCAGTTTTTTAAACTTTTAAGGATTGGATCTGAGTAGATCGGCATTTATAATCAATCTCTAAAGTTTCGCACCTTGGCAAACCTCTAGAATATTGCCAGAAACTTATTTTCATTGATTTCCAATTCAACCAATTTTTTGAAATTGCCAAATTCTTGTGGAATTAGGACGAAAGGCCGATTTGTTCGAAGAAACAAATTCTCTAAATTGGTCAAATTAGCAAAAGAAGCAAGAATTTCACTAATGACATTATTTTGGACGAGTCTAGATTGTTTAAGAACTTCAAATTTCCCAATTCTTGAGGAATGGGACCTAAAAGTTTATTGCCATAAAGATGAAGAATAGTCAAGGAGGTAACGCTACAAAAAGTAGTTGGGATTGGTCCCACAAGGTTGTTGTTGCTATAAAATCTTAGAAATTCGAGTGATTCTTGTCACACTCCACCCTACTTGAACGGGGCATGATAATGGGGTAATAACCCATATCCTCCTATGCAAAAAAAACATGGTAGCATGATAGTTGCTATAACCCCTATCTAATGAGCTCTATTATCAGACTTGTAATACCTGTAGCAGTAATAAATATTTGTGCTATGTAATAATGGGCTCAAAATATCCATTCAAATAACATTCTCATGCACACATTCAATTAACCAGCCCATGCACATAATCCACCATATGTCCATACACACAATCTACCATACACTCATATTAGATGATACCTCAATGTTATCCATACAATAACTATAGCCATGAGTAATCCTAATACATAACCCTTGCACTTGTGAAAATGTCTGCGAACCCCTTGCACTTGTGAAATGTCTGTGATAGTGACATAAGAAATTCTAATAACTACCACATGCAAAAAGAGTCCTACTGGCCCAACCTCTACTATTGTGTAGTGAATCTCTAGTGTTGGTCCAAGGGACGTGATGGCGCTTAGTGTAGGCTATCTAAAATCTACAAAATAAAATGGTATGAGAACTTAGGTTCCTAGTGAATGACAAACAGTTTAAACTTAGTGGAAAACATTGGGGTTTTTATAATCACATTGTATATCATCATAATTTAGAAATCCATAAAGTCATGAAATTTATAAGTAGAAATAGATTATAAAACCATTTTTATTCCTTCGCATGTTACAATGGCAATAAAGTTAATACAGGAAAATATAAGATAAGTAAAACCATTAGTTTACTGGAATGTCATTAAAGTTGAAACAATGAAATATAATCAAAAGTAGAGAATCATAATCTTGCATTATATCTCATATAGCTCTGATCAGGCGTGCACAATCGACAATGACTGAGTGTAGTAAAACATAAGAATATAAAACCATCAAAACATGTCGGGCGTTACCATACTATGTAGCCTGCACCATGAGTAGCCACTGCAGGTTAGACTAACACAGATTATGACATCTGAGACCCCACTATGTCCAAAGTCGTAATATAAACCGTAGTAGAACTGCCACCTAATGGCTGCCCGACATACTAGTTCAAGTGCCAAAATGCCAAAACATTAATTTCTTATCAGATTGGGTAATTTATATAGGTGAAGTTGGATTGCACTCACTAATTCTTTAATAGAACAATTAGTTTTTTATTTTTATATTTTCAAATGAGTTTTTTTAGGGATATCAAATTTACTTTATTTTTATATAATATATTTACATAATATATTTTATATTACATAAAACAAAAAATAAATTTGATATTTTAAATTAATGTTATCTAACTGTAAGTGGATGGAAGTTAATAAAAATCATTAATCAATGAAATCAAATAAATGGAATGTTCTTTGAGGGTAAAAATGAAGGTAAGTATCATTTAAGTAAATCTAAAGGAGAAGAGTTTTTTTACCAAGAAAAAAAAATACTGAATGAAAGTACTAACAAGTGCAGTAGAATACAAATATGATCCAAGATTAAATAGTTATTAGGTTAAATTATTTTCTTTTTTAGTTTGATAAATCAATTTTTAAAATAACTAACATACAATGCCTCTTCAAATTGTCAAATTTGGATCTTCTCATTTTGTTGAGCTTCATTTCCATTGATCTTGGTCAAACATTTTAAATTTCAAAATTCTAAAAATTTTTACCAGAAAACATGAGTAGTGCATAGGCAAGTTAGATGTAAAGAGACTCCCATTTCCATACCAAATGAGAACCAAGGATGATTGAGTTGAATCACAAATTGCATTCATATTTTAAGATAAAGGAGCACAAATTAACCAGTAATAAAGCTCTAATATGGGCACTTAAACAAAAGAAAGATGCATCTAAAAAATAACACAATATTTAGAGACAAACAACTTATTTTCTATAATTCTTAGCATAATTATATAAAACAAACAGACTCTTGTTTTGTTGGTCCTCCAATCACAGATTGTTTAGAGGCATTTTTCGAGTTGAGAAGATTTGAGAAATGACTTGCATTGATGGCCTAGATTCTGGATTAATTTGTAGACATCCAATAGCAAGCTTTGCAATGCACATCACTGCCTCATTAACCTCGGCTGAGGGTGGCGAAAGGCGGGTGTCTAGAATGTCTTTCAGCTCAATGCTCTCAATAGCCAGGGTTGTAAGAGTAGAGATGAAATCCCCTGGATGCTTCCCTTGCAATACCTCCAATGCTAACACTCCAAAGCCATAGACATCAACCTTCGCGGTCACCTTTGTCATGTAAGCAAGCTCTAAACAGGAAAATAAACTCATAATTTGGCATTAAGATTTTAATAATAACCAATTCAAACAAAGTAAAAAGTATAAAAATACCTGGTGCAACATAACCATATGTGCCTGCAATTGCACTCCAATTAGAAGAATTGAGCTTCAAAAGCTTAGCATTCCCAAAATCAGAAATACGAGCCTCATACTCCTCATCAATTAAAATATTGTTGCTTGACAAGTCTCTGTGAACGATCGAAGGAGAGCAATCATGGTGCATGTAAGATAAGGCATGAGCCACACCCTTGACAATGTTAACCCTTTTTGGCCAATCTAGTTCTCTAGCTGTTTCATCTTTGCCCAAAAGTTTGGCCAAGCTACCCCTTTCTAGGTACTCATATATCAAGAATGAGTGTCGGGCATGTGAACAAAAGCCAAAAAGCTTCACTATGTTTCGGTGCCTAATTTCTGTCAAAGCCCTTATCTCATTTAAGAAGCTCTTATGACTAGCAAACTCAGCTTGATCAGATAATGAATGTAGCTTCTTAACAGCTACTGTAGTAGTGTAAGAAGCCAATGAAGGTAGATTTGCTTTATAGACTATCCCAAAGCCTCCATTCCCAATGCAATAAGCAGCATTAAAATTCTCAGTAGCCTTTAAAATGTCATTGTACATTCCTTTGCCATCAAATAAAGATATTGAGAAGACATCTTTATTGCCCTTGTCACCTTCTTCCACATTTGCCTTTCTTTTTCTCCATTCCAACATAATGACATACCCCATTAAAGCACCTGAAAACAAGATTACTCCTCCTAGGGGAATCAAAATTACAAGAGCCTTGTGTTTTGTTCTGCTTTTGCTGTTCATTGATGAAGGGCAGGGTTGCAATCCTGTGGCATTGCCACACAACCCTTTGTTTCCTTGTAATGCCTCCATTGGAGCTTCTATAAAGGCTTTACTATTGGGTATGGGACCTTGCAAATTGTTATATGATATATCGACAAAAGACAATGGTATTTTTTCGAAACCTTTTGGAATGACACCAAATAGGTTATTGTGGGAAAGGTTTAGCAACTCTAAGCTTTGCAGTTTTGTAATATCAGATGGAATTTCCCTTGCAAGCAAGTTATGACTCAAATCTAGCTTGTTAAGGTGAAATAGGTTACCTATTTGAAATGGAATCTCTTGACTAAACTTATTTCTACTTAGGTTCAAATGGAACAGGTTTTGAAAGTTTGGCCAAAATCTTGGAATTGAACCACTTAAGCTATTCTTGGAGAGATCAAGATAAGATATTTGGGTTAGTGATCCAAGTTCTACAGGTACACAACCTGAGAGTTCATTACTTGACAAATCTAGTGTCAGCAATGAAGATAATTTTCCAAATTCCTTGGGTATCTCCCCAACTAATTGATTTGAAGAAAGACAGAGTTTCCGCAGTTGACTTGAATTCCCTAGGACTTGTGGGATCCTCCCAGTGATGTTATCCTAGATAGGCTTAAAAATGTCAAGTTTGTACACTTTCCCAGTTCTTTGAGATTTCTCCATAAAACTCGTTATTACTCAGATCTAGAAATTGCAAATTTGGGTAGGTCCCCCAACCTTCAGATATGCTTCCAGTGAGTTTGTTCCCATCAAATCGGGCTCGTACTAAGGTTGAGCAGTTTTTCAAACTTTTAGGGATTGGACCTGTGAGCAGATTGTTGTTAACAGTAAAATTCTGAAGTTTCCCACCTTGGCAAACCTCTGGAATACTACCATTAAACTTATTTTCATCCATTTCCAAAGCAACCAATTTTTTGAGGTTGCCAAATTCGGTGGAATTGGGCCAGAAAGTTGGTTTGTTCGGAGATACAATTTCTCTAAATTGATCAAATTACCAAAAGAAGTAGGAATTTGACCAATGAGATTATTTTGGGACAATTCTAGATCAGTTAAGGACTTCAATTTTCCTAATTCTTGAGGAATAGGACCCGAAAGTTGATTGCCATAGAGATGAAGAAGAGTTAGGGAGGTAAGGCCACCGAAAGTAGTTGGGATTGAACCTGTAAGGTTGTTGCTGTAAAAGCTCAAATATTCAAGAGATTTCAACTTTCCTATCTCCAGCGGGATACTACCAGATAGATGATTTTCATGTAAGAATAACATAGTTAACTTTTTTAACTTTCCAAGGTTGGAAGGAATAGGACCTGTGAGATTGTTGGTGTCAATATCAAGCTCAAGAAGATTGGTGAGATCTCCCAACTGGTGAGGGATGGACCCATGAATGTTATTCTCATAGAGATATAGAAAAGACAAATTTTTCAAATGGCCAAGAGAAGCAGGAATATGACCCTCCAAGTTGTTGTCGTACAAGGATAAGTCCTTAAGAGATGTCAAGTTGCCTATCTCATGAGGAATTGAACCAGTCAACTCATTTTCTACAAGGTGGAGAGTTTCAAGATTGCTTAGGTGGCCAATTTCAGATGGGATGGATCCAAAAAAAGAGTTGATGGACAAATCAAGGTAGATGAGTTTGGAAAGGGAACCAATTTCCGGCGGGATAGTGCCAAAAAGTTGGTTGATACTAAGATCAATGTATTTAAGATTGCTCAAAGATGAGAAAGGGAAGTTGTAGAGTGTACCGTTTATGCCAAAATTTGAGAGGTTCAATCCTTTTATGATTCCATGGTGATTGCAAGAAATTCCTAACCAGCGGCATGCAGAGATGGAGTCATTATTAGGATGAAACTCCCATGAAGCGAGGCTGGAAGTGTTCTGGTTTTGAAGGCTGTGTTTCCATTTGAAAAGAGCATTGGCTTCTCCAGCCGAAGCAGGGGAACAAGCAGCAAAATTGGGTGAAGAAAAGAGTATAACAAAGAGGGAAAAGCAAGCAAGGCAGACTACCTTGTTATCTAAAGCTCCCATTCTGTTTTGTTTTGGTGTAACTGATGCCTGCTACTAACTTATATACACGAGTCTTGGAAAAGCTGCAAGAGAACCTAAGTGAATTTACCAAAAATGTTAAAATAAAAAGAGAGGGACCCGAGTACACTTGCCATTTCAAAATCTATTTTGGTCCTTCAGTCAACACCCAACAGTTACAATCAAGGAAATCTTTGATGGAGGCATTGCTCATTTCCACATTAAACCAATAGTTTCCACACCAAGGTCACCCTGATCTCTGCTGTAAAGAAGAAAATTTGTAGTGTGTGAACCAGTACTTTTTGTCAACGTTTTTTACATTGTTGGAGTCACTGGTCATTTAAAGCTCTGGCATAAGTTTGGTCAATCAAGGACTGATTTAATTTCGGTCAGTCAAGCACTGATTTTTCTTTTCATTTCTTTAATCTCTTGCCCAATTCTTTCGCCTTTTTTGGGGGTAGAAAAACAGAGATTAATTTGATTAAAGGCATTGCCCATTAACCGCTAGTGAAATGCCACCAGGTCCTCCCCATTCTACATTTAAAGTGCTTTTATTAAGTAACAAGTCAACAAAATGAATATAATATTATTTCCAACCCAAAAAAAGAATAATTATAATAATCTTGAGGTTCATGCAAGTCATTAATGCCTTCTTTATTACAGCTTCTGGGATGTTTCCATGTGCTGGCTTGAAGAATGGTTTGTATTGAAGTTTATCAATTTTAGATGTGAAATGTTGAATTTAGATAATTCTATAACTAAACAATGAGGCTTAACTGCAGTCCTAGCGAAAGGATACTATTGGTTGCCTTCATTTATTTACTTATTTATTTTTGTTTTGTTTTCAAGAGTATGCTGTGGATAATTAAATTTTTGGAATTAGTAAAGTAAAAAACAAAAAGATTCCAGTGCCCACTTAAAATATTGTAGGTTATTAGGCCTGCAATTGTTTAGTTGCAACTGAATTTCTCCTGTGAGCAAGCTATAACCCAAATCCAACTTTGCCAAGCTGAAATAGCCTTACCCATTTTAGAGTTCCTAATTACATAAATTTTAATTTGAATCTAATTTTAATTTTATTGAAATTTTAGCATTCAAATTTGATTAAAATGTTTTAATTAAATATCTAATTCAAATTTTAAGTACATCAAACATAAAATTAAATAATCTAATCAATTAAAGATCAAAATTTAAAATTTAGTAATATTTTTATTAAGCTAATAATTATATATATAAATTTATAAATTTGAACTTATAAGGATTAAATTCAAAAAATCAAAAAAATTTAGAAACCAATATGATTGATAGAATAAAGATGAATGATTTAATTATAAAAAGATAATATTTGGTTGTCGAATTAGAGTTTCTTGTTAGAATTTATTATCCAATTTTAGATTATTTATCGAATTTAGATCAATGATATAAATTTTATAAAATCTTGGGTTAAATTTGGATTTAAATTCATTTAATTTGATGTAAATTCAATTCATTGACTGTCATAATCCATTTGAAATAGAAATTCTTGGCTCAAATTGTTCTACCTTACAAAAAACGCCCCAACCATATGGAGTTGGACTGTTGCAACTGTCCTCGGAGATATCAAGATACAACATTCGATTAGCAATCCAAATTCTTGAGGCACATGACTAGACAATTCATTACTAGATTAATCTAGAGAAGCTAGCATTTAGCCAGTAAGATTGTTTCCATAGTCTCAACTGCTTCTACCTTTCCCATTTGTCAAGGAATAGGACCAAAGAGACTATTGCTGCAGATGCACAACAAAAGTAGCTTAACTTTCCTAATGTTGAAGGAATTTGTCCAGTGTGATTGTTGGCATCGGTGCTGAATTTCAACGAAGCTGACACGGTCTACCAATTGGGAAGGGATGAATCGATTTGTCATTGCGATATTGCAAAGTTGAGTTTTTCAAACTGAGAAGAGAAGAGGTTGGTGGAGAACAAAGGCCAGCTCAGAAAAGAGACTTGAAGCGCCCCATCTCACAAGGAATTAGACTGTTCAACTTATTTTTGTACAATTTCAAGCATTTTAAGATCAGCCAAGAGGCCATTTTCTCGAGGAATGGTTTCTGATCCACAATCAAGGTGATCTTGAAGAGGAAAGCAATTTCAGGCAGTATATATACACGTACACATGTTTTGCTGTGAGAATTTTCTACGGTGTACATGGCGTGGTAAAAGTTTAAAGCAGGTGAACCAGCACTTTTGGAATGCGTTTCTAGCTCCGGCATGATCACAATATGGTGGGGTAGTTCTTAAGTTTGGTCAGTCAAGCACTAATTTATCTTTTCATTTCTTTAGTCTCTTTCCCATTTCTTTAGCATTTTTGGGTAAAATAACAGATTAATTTAATTAAAGGTTCTACAAAATGAATATAATATTATTTCCAAGCAAAAATAGAAAATAAAAAGAATAATTTTGATAATCTCGCGGTTCATGCAAGTCATTAATACCTTCATTATAAGGATGGTTTGCATTGAAGTTCAATTTTAGATCTGGCAAATTCAATCAAGTTTAAGTAATTGTATAAATTGGAGTTTGGGTAGTTGTAAAACTAGTTTGAATTCCTGTAATTGTGATTCCAAGTCTCTGATATTAATGTCTATATGTAATTGAATTCGTAAAATAATGTTTCTCTAATCAATTAAAGAATGAGGCTTGCCTGCTGTCTTGGCAGCAGCAAGATACTGATCGGTTTTATTATTTTTTGTTTTATTTTCAAGAGGATGATGTGAATAATTAAATTTTTGGAATTGTTAAACTAAGAAACACAAAGTTTTCCACTGCCCATTTAAAAGATTCTATTCCTAAAAAAAAAAGAAAATAAATATGAAGTTATTTTCAAATATAATTAAATCTTAATGCGGTTATAAAAATCCTGTACATTAATATTTTGCCACACCCCATAATTAGGCATGTAACCAACACTGAGACTAAATCACCAATCTCAGTAAGCTTTGAAGAGACTGAACATAAAAAACTCATCCAAATTTAATATATATAAATCAAGCATATACAACCAAAAGATCCTCTTTGAAAAGAAAATAGAGCAACTCTAAAATACAAATAAATAGGCAATAGATTTTGTATATCGAAAGTAGCTCAACCGAAAACCACATACTTGTCTAGGGAAGCGATCAGAAGGGTGAAACCACACTACGTCCAAAAAATATTAGAAAGGGATACGTATGAAACTCAGTAAATGATAATATAAACTCTAGTTATGCTGAGATATGTATCGTAAAATATGTCAATCATATACATATAGCAAGACAGTGAGCAAACATACATATCACTGAAAACGACACATATATGCCTTATAGATTCAAAAGCACATGAGAGTATTAGAATGCCAAAAATCTCATCTCACATTAAAGTGCATCATATCGGAAGTATCACACATCATATGTCATATCGGGATCTTGTACTGAGTTAGAATCAGAATCAGATTTAGAACATACACATAGCACATAGTGCTCAAACACAATTGTGGTCATCTAAAACTAAAATTAGAGTAACTCTCAACATAAGATTTTCAGAAAATATATGTAATAGAGGCATAATTTTTTTTAAAAAAAACAAGTATTTGGAATAGCTCACTATAAATTTTCACAAAGCCAAATACCTGTACTAAAGTTTAATTTTTAAAACTAATAACCTATATTATAACAGATAAATAATGACTAGAGTCAAAAACACATACACAAAATAAGTATAATCACTCACAATACGAGACAAAGCCAAAAACTAGAATCTCTGAATAATCTCAACAGTCGAAATGCATCATCTTGGGGGTATTTGTAACCACAATGATATAACATCAAAACCAGAACCAAAACTAAAACTACTTAAAGACTCGGTTTATTAAACTATTTCTTGACTCCACTTTGAAATCTTGGCATGTATCTCGAGATTCATTATTTAACACTTGAACCCAAAATAAACCAAAAACATGAACTAATCTTGCATAAAAACCCTTAAACAAGAGTGAACCAATATTGAATACCTCTAAACTAATTTGAATTGGCTTGAACCAACCTCAAATACTACTGAACTGGCCTAAACCAGCCCCAAATGCTCCTGTATCGGACTAAATCGGCCTCAAATACCATAGAATTAGGCTAAATCGACCTCATACACCCCTGAACTGAATTAAACCGGCCTCAAATACCACAAAATTAGGTTGAATGGGCCTCATACACCCCTGAATTGGACTGAAATAGTCTCAAATAACACAAAACCAGGTTGAATCGACCTCATAACCCTAAACCGGGCTGAACCAGACCAGAATCCTCCAGAACTAGATTGAACCAGGCCAACACCTTTCAAAATCAAATTGAACCATCACCAAACACTATAGAACTAGGCTGAATTGGTCAACTTTGCCTCAAAATTGGCCTCAAAACCAAATAGTTTTAGTTAATTAGAGAACAAAACCATATTGAACCAGCCTAAATTTGGTTCAAATTACATCGAACTGGCCTAGTACTTGCCAAAATTAGGCTGAACTAGACTGAAAATTTTTGGAACCAGACTGAGTTGGATCAAATTGTGCAGAATTGGGTGGAACTAGCTGGCTAGCTCTTTAATTCAGTATGAAAAGGCCTACTTGGGCCGTAACTGGCCCCTTGAGCCAGTCAAACTTGGTTCGAATAAGCCAAACAGGCTAGCCAAACTAGTATGGACCTGTGCCACCTAGGTCCTTTCTTTTTTGCCTGAAAACCCAGTTTCTGACTCGGTTGACTATAAATTTACCCAAAAGCATGATGATGACGAGGGTTCAGAGATGGTAATCAACCGCCAGAGACTTATCTTCGAGTATCAATTTTTACAAAAGCTTGCTGGCGAAGGGGAATTTCACGTAGAAATCAAATAAAGTTCCGTGAGGCTTTTTTTGAAAAATTCAAATGATTGAGGGAGAGATGGGTCAATTGTCTCAAGGCAAAGGTAATTGACATCGATTCACACATATATGTACAAATT